GTTAGGCCTGAGGAGTCTGAGGATGTGCAGGTGAGGAAAGTCTAGATCACTGACTAAGCTATGCCAGTGAGCAGACAACTTGACCCTAGCTTGGACTAAGACTGTCTGGATGGAATAGGAGGGTCAAGGTCTGGGCCACTCATAGGCAGACCTGTAATGCTAGCTTTGAGTGTTAGGGTACACTAGGGGTGGGGGCAGGGTCTTGATCTCTCATGAGGCTGGCATTTTGGGTAAGCTGTATGGCACCAGCTAGGCCTTGTATTATGAGGATGGTGTAGGACAGGATCTTGATCACTCACCAGTATGGGCTTGTGCCTAGGCTGCTTGATCCCTAGTACAGGAGGGCAGAGGTCTGTCTTACTCACCAGGCTATGCTGGTCAGCAATCTTCTTCACCTGAACTAGGCCTGGGAGTGTTAGGGAGGCTCTAAAGGGGGAGCCTTAAGCATCAAACAGCTTAAGACTGAGACTGGTGCTCAGTCTGTGTGAATAAATATTGGCTTCTGACTATGAGGAAGGTTAAGGCAGGAGGAGATCCTGGGTAATCACTATGCTTGTGCCAGACAAGATGCCTGACCAGAGTAAAGCCCTGGAGTGAGGATTGTCAAGAAGGAAGGAGTCTTTTACCCTAGTTTTTTTCCTTTTTCTGGAGCTGAGGACTGAACCCAAGGCCTTGCGCTTGCTAGGCAAGCACTCTACCACTGAGCTAAATCCCCAACCCCAAGAAGGAGGGAGTCTTAATCACTGACTGGTATTATGCACTGGTAAGTAGGCTGCTTGAACCCAACAGGTCTTGGGACTATTAGGATGATGGGGAGGCCCAGGGCCAGATCACTTACCAGGTTAAGCCAGTGAGTAGAAAGCTCTTCTTGGGTTTATGGGGATGGCAGGGGAAGGCATGGATGGAGCTAGGCCTGGGCGTGTGCTAATAGTGCAGATGGGTGGGCTTACAGCCTAGTCTGGTAGGCAAGCATCTTGACTCAAGCTAGGCATGAGAGTTGGAGGGCAGTGTGTAAGGGCAGTGTCTTGATCACTTATCAGTCTGGGCTGGTATCTGGGAGTCTTGACCAAAGTCTGAGACTATGGGGATGACACAGGGACATAGCAGTCTGGGTCATTTACCCGGCTTCACTATTCAGGAATCTGCTTGACCAAACTAGTCCTGGGAATCTGCAGAAGGTGCTGGAGTGTGAGCCTTGACACTCACGAGGCTGGGGTGTTGCTCAGGCTGTGTGAACCAAGCAAGGCCTATCAGTGTGAGGAGGATACTGAAGAGAAAGTCTAGATCGCTAAGGCACATAGGGCATTTACCTCTTTCCTCTAGTGTCTACACTGCTTGACCTCAACAAGCCCTGGAATTGTTTCTATGCTGGAGCAGTGTAGAATCCAAGGTCACTCACCTCTTTGGGCTGGTGCAGGCTGCTTATGATTATGAGACCACACCTAGACTGAGTAGTTGCAGGAATGCGGGGGTCTGGCTCACAATGAAGGCTTGCTTGTCTCAGAACTCCTTGAGTGGAACTGTGCCTGGGAGTATGAGGATGGTGCAGGAGAACAGAGTCTTAATTCCTTTCCAATTGGGGCATGGCCTGGGAATGGGATGATGTCCTGGAAGTGTAAGGGTCCATGTCACTCAACAAGTTGGACACAAGTACAGGCTGTACAACCCAAGTTAGGTCTGAAAGTATTAGTAGGGTACCTGCAGGACCTTGAGCTCTCACCAGGCTAAGACAGTAAGCAATGTGATTAACCAAGTTATAGTAGAGAGGGTGAGGATGGTTGGGGTATGTGTGGCTATTGGGAACTCACATGCAGAGCCGGTATGCAGCCTGCATCACCCAAGCTAGCCTTGGACTTTGATATATGTGTGTGTGTGTGTGTGTGTGTGTGTGTGTGTGTGTGTGTGTGTGTGTGTGTGTGTATCATAGGAGAAGACCTAATGTGGATCACTTGCCAGAGTAAGATGGTAAGCAGGCAGCTTTACCCCATGTAACTCTGAGAATGTGGAGATGTGAAAGGATAAAGGGCTGGGTCCCTCACAGGCTAAGTATTTGGATTGGGGTTTCTATTAATTTATTTTGCATCCTGACCGCAGTTGCCCCTCCCTCCTTCCCTCCCATTCCCTCCCCGACCCTCCCTCTGCCCACTTCCCAATCTGTTCCTTTGTTTCTATTCAGAAAGGGCAGGCCTCCCATGGATAACAACAAGACATGGCATATCAAGTTTCAGTAAGACTAAGTACCTCCCCATGTAAGGCTGGGCAAGGTAACCCAGTATAAGGAGGAGGGTCCAAAAACCCAGTAAAAGAGTCAGAGACATCCCTTGCTCCCACTGTTAGGAGTCCCACAAGAGGACCAAACTACACAACTGTAACATATGTGCAGAGTACCTAGGTCAGTCCCAAGCAGGCTCCCCAGTTGTCGCTTCAGTCTCTGTGAGCTCCTATGTAGCCAGGTTAGTTGATTCTGTGGGTTTTCTTTTGATGTCCGTGACCCCTCTGGTTCCTACAATCCTTCCTCCCTCTCTTTGGCAGGATTCTCTAAGCTCTGCCTAATGTTTGACTGTGGGTCTCTGTCTCAGTTTCCATCAGTTGCTGGACGAAGCCTCTCTGATGACAGTTGGCATCCTTACATTGGGCATATCATTATGCATCCTTACATTGGAATTGTTTTTATTCACTTGTGTTTGGTTCTATCCTAGGTCTCTGGATCATCCAACCTGTAAGTCCTGGTGTTCCAGGAAGTGCCAGGGGTGGGCTCACTCTCATGGCATGGGTCTTAAGCTGGACCAGTCATTGGTTGGACACTCCCTCAATCTCTAGGTCGCCCTTACCCCAGCACATCCCCATAGGCAGGACAGACTACAGGTCGAAAGTTATATGACTGGGTTGGTGTCCCAATCCCTCCACTTGAAGTCTTGCCTGATCAGAGGAAATGGCCAGTTCAGGTTACATATCTGCTATTGCCAGAAGTCTTAGTTGGGGTCATCCTTGTAGATTCCTGGGAGGTTCCCTTGTGCCAGGTTTCTACCTGACCCCAAAATGTCCCCCCTTTCAAATTGTCTCTTTCAGTATTCGCCCCCTCTACCTCCCCCCTAACCTAAACTCTCATGTTCCCATCCCCACCAGCCCACAGTCCATTCACAAAATCTATTTCCTCTTCCCAGGAAGATCCAAGCATCCCACCCTTAGCCCTCTTTGTTACTTAGTCTCTCTGGGTCTATGGATGGTAGCCTGGTTATCCTTTATTTTACAGTTAATATCCACTTAAGAGTGAGTGCATACCGTATTTGTCTTTCTGGGTCTGGGTGACCTTACTCAGGATGAATTTTTCTAGTTCCATCCATTTGTCTGCAGACTTCATGATAAATCTGGGAATGGTACTGTGGTATTCTTGTGAATGGGCAGGGTTTTGTGTCACTCATGAAACTGGGTTGGTGGACAAACTGCTTAACCCAGGGTAGGCCTGAGATGTGAGGATGAATTGAGATGGCAAGGTTGATAACTCAACAGCCTGAGTTAGTATCCAAGCTGCTTGACCTCAAGCTGGTCAGGGACTTCAGAAATGACACAGGAGTGCAGGGTCTAAGTTATTCACCAGGCTGTGATCATTGGCCTTATGCTTGATCTGAACCTAGGCCTGGAAGTCTCAAAGGCTACTTGAATGGAAGTCTGGATCACTCATGATGCTAGGATATTGTTCAGGTTATATTGTTCAAGTTAGGCCTGTGAGTGTGAGTATAAGAAGGCAGGTGGAGACATTGGACACTCATTATTGTGGCCTAATACCCATGCTGTGTGACCCAGTCTTAGCCCCTGAGTGTGCAGAAGGGGAAGACAGGTGATGATCCTAGGCACTCATAGGCTGGGCTGATGGACAATCAGCTGGATCATAAATATGCCTCAAGTATGAGGATGGTGGGAGAGGGCACACTCTTGATCACTAACTAGCAGTCAACTTTACTCCAGCCAGGCCTGGGACTGTAGGGGTGCACAGGTTGGCAAAGGTCTGTCACTCAAAGATCTGGCTTTTGCATGGTCTTTGTGAATGGAGATAGGGAGATGGTGGTAATGGTGGTGAAGGGTGTGGTTGTGGGTCTCTCACCAGGATGAGCTGGGGCATCAAGTGCCTGGTAATTTTACCTAAGCCACTGAGCTGGTAAGAAAGGATAGGGACTGACTCATTATCAAGTTTGACTGGGAGTTTCAATTTTGTGCAAAAGGGCAGTCTTGATCTTTCATCAGGATGGGCTGGTATACAGGCTGCTTCACTCATGACAGGCCCGGAAGATGTCCTCGGAGAGCAGGATCTGGTTCAGAAAGCAGGCTAGGGGACCCAAGCAAGGCCTTATATTTTGTTGTCACTAGGTTAGGATGGTACACAGTCTGATTGGCTACATTAGGCCAGTGAGTGTGAAGATGTTTTGCACAGGAGAGAGTCTTAGGAACTCACAGCACTTGTCTATTGAGCAGGCTGTGTGACACTAGCTAAGCCTAAGCAGTATTAGGATGGTGTGAGAAGAAATGGTTTCATCACTCACCAGTCTGGTGCCCAGGACACACAACTGAAGGGATGGCAACACTGAGTAGGGTTCTGTGCCATGCACCAGATTAGGCAGGCTCACAGGCTACTTCATCCTAACTAGGCCTTAGCATCTGAGGAAGGCACTGGAGGGCAAGTCTTGATGACTCTCTAGACTGGGCTGTTCAATTGCTAGAAAACACTCTTGATGTAAAGTTTCCTCTAATGTCATGCTTACACAATTGAGCTTTCCTCCTAAATGGCCCAAAACGTTATTGATAACATTCAAGTGTAATACTGCAAAACCCCTTGAAAGGTCAAATGTGGAAGATGGTTCATTGAAATAGTGTCTAAGGGGCTGGAGAGATGGCTCAATGATAAAGAGACCTGTTTGTTCTAACAGAGGGCTCAGGTTTGGTTTCCAGCACCCTCAGGGAATCCACCTCCCTGGTCTGAGCATACTACACAAGCAGCACACAGACATACATTCAGCAAATCACTCATACACATAAAATGTAGAATTAAATTAAATGTAAATTTTTCTTAAGGGGACTAATGTGACAATATAGTTATAAAGTCTAGGAGAAATTGAAACCAACCTACGATTTCACTACCTAGCAAATGAAGTGGTTGTGTCCTTCAACTCACAAGCTAGAAAATCATTGAAAGGTACTGTCCAAGCTATAGCAAACTCACATAAAAAAAATATTACCACTCTATCTTATGCCAGGTCTTCACAGCTGTGACATGGTTTAAATTCCATAATCCATCCCCAAGAGGATCCCACCCCAAGCAAAAATCAAATTTCTCCGTATAAGATGACCCATCCATAGACTGTGTCTTAACCCAACACAGTCATCATATTGTAGTTTTGAGAAGGGCTTGCTCTGCCCAATAGAGTTTTCTCCTTGCAGCCGACTCTGCTATCTCCCATTTGCTCTTTGGTGCCACTTTGAGAAGTACCTCCCGCTGGAAAGGCTTCATACAGCACACAGATGGAGCCATCCTCCCCAATCCTGTAGGACACTTCATAGGGATCCACCCAGAGTGTGAGCTCACATGGGAGAAGCCTGAACAGCTCCTGACTGCTCAGTCCAATCTGCTGGGCTGCCTGTCCAATCAGAGGATCCATCTTATGATTGATGCGAAGACACCTGTAGCCCGATCCCTTGCAGGGCTTCTCTGGAAACCAGTGATGTTTGTAATGCTCTTCCAGTAGCTCCTGCAGGCTCTGGCTGAAGGTCTGCAGCTGTTGTTCGCTCCTGAGGCCCTTGGTGCTGAGGAACTTCGAGATGAATGTAGCGGCAGCACTGATCTCGCCTCTCATGGTGGCTGCAAGGATAAAGAAGGGATGCATCTGGGTGGCAGATAGATCAGCAGTGTAGCCTGAAGGCAGAGTAGCCACCCCAGGCTTCTGCTTTCTAGAGAATGCAAGGCCATGAGGCAGCTACTAGCTCTAGGGGCTCTTTTCAAAACTTTTCTTTTGGAGGAAAGAAGTCATTGTGCAGGGTAGAGACGGGAGAACAGAGATAGCCTGGTCATGTCACTTTGACCTTTCCAGTCACCTCTACCACCAGCTCAGAAGCCTCCAAGGATCCCAAGAGTTGTACTTCCAGCTCCAAGGGGCAAAATTACATACATTCTTAAAGGCATATTAAGCTTAAATGGGCTGAGCACACAGGATAACACACTGAGTACATATCTTGGCCTGTGAATGTGAAGTGGAATGCACTCGCTAGACTGGGCTGATGGGAAAGCTGCCTGGCCAGAGCTGGGACAGGAAGTATGGGGATGGTGCAGGAGTGGATCTCCTTGATTACTAATACAAAGCTGTTCTTATTCCCAGGCTACTGGATCATAACCAGTACTGGGATCCAGTTAGGATGGTCAGGGAGAGCTTAGTCTTGATCACATACCAGGGTAAGCTAATGAGCAGCTACCTTGACCCCAGGTTACATTGGTGCTGTGTAGTTGACATAGGAAGATGTAGCCCAAGCTAGGTCTCAGAGTGTGTTAATGTTGCAGATAGGCGGGGTTATAGGCGACTCAGCAGGCCAAGATCGGTGTATAAGTGCTGTGACCCAAGCTATGGTGTATAGTGTGCAAGGGCAGGGTTGTTTTTATCACTTACCAGTTATGTCTGGTGAGCAGGCAGATTGACCTTAGCTGGGCTAGAGACTGGTCAGATGGCACAAGAGTGCAAGGTCTGGGTCACTCAGGAGGTTGGCTCGAGTACAGGCCGTGTGACTGAAGCTGGGCTTAGGAGTATTAGTACACCAGCAGCAGAAAGAATCTCGAGCTCTCACCAGGCTGGTATGGTATGATTGACTCTGACTAGAAAATGTACTGGTCCAGGCAGTGATGGTATTAGCATCTCAGTAGTCAGGGATAGTGCCCAGACTGCTTGATGCTTTATGGGCCTGGGAACACGATAATGGTACAGACCAACAGAGTTCTGGATCACTCATGGAAAACTGAGGCAAATTGACTGGCCAAGGCAGGACTGGGATATTGGAGTGGTGGAGGATGGCAATGTCTTGACATCTCTCCAATATGGGCTAGTGGGCTACTTGACCCCTACTGTGTCTGAGACTCTGGAGATGGCACAGGAGGGCAAGGGTATGAGTCATTCAGAAGGCCATGTTGGTCTGTGATCAGCTTGACCCAAACTAAGCCTGGAAATGTGAGGATGACACTAGAGGAGGGGGTATCTTGGTCACTGACCAGGCTCTGCTGCTGCTCAGGCTAAAAGGCCAAAGCTAGGCCAGTGAGAGTGATGAAGGCAAGTATATTTATTGGGTAAGCTGCTTGATGTCAGCTAGGGCTGGGTATGCAAGGATTGTGTGGGACAAGAAGCTCTTAATCACTGAATATGCTCTTTTGGTGCCCATGCTGTTTGTTCTAAACATGTCTTGTATTGCTAGGCTCATGAGGGAGGGAGGGAGGACCTGGTATTGATCATCACCAGAGTACACCATTGGGTAGGTAGCTTGGTCCCATACAGTTCTGTGACTATGGGGATAACAAGGGAAGACAAAGTTCTGGGTCATAGAGATGACTTGTATGCAGACTATGTGGCCTGTACTAGCCCTGGTAGTGTGGTAATGTGAAAGAGCAGGGTTCTGTGTCAGTCACCATTCTGGTCTGGTACACAATATGCCTGAGATTGTCAGACCACTTTCTAGTCTAGAGTGAGGCAAGAGGACAACATGCTGGGTCATTAACCAGGTTTGGCAGGCTGTATGCTCCTTGACCTGAATTAGGCCAAGGATTGTGAGGATGGGACATGAGGAGGGCAGGATCTCTCTCCCTCACCAGGGCAGGTGCCCAGGCTGCTGCAGCCATTCTAGGCCTGGGGATGTGAGGATGTTCTCGGAAGTACAGCAGTCTGGGTCCTTCACCAGGCTGGGCTAGAGTACAGGCATAGCTACTCAAGCTATTACGGAGTACTAGTCACCCTGGGAGGCCAGGATCTCAAGCACTCACCAGACTAGTATGAGGTACAATCCAATTGACTCCAGCTAGGTCAGGTTGCTGAGGATAGCTATGGCAGGTGAGGTGTGTAGGAACTCACCAGGCCTTGTAACAATTCCAAGGCTTTGTAGTTGGAGGATGTGGTAGTAGAGCTGGGTCTTGACCACTTAGCAGTCTGGGCTGGGAATATGAGCTTACATGGAGGTCAGTGGTCTGGAACACTCACCAGGATGTGCTGGTCAGTGATCTGCTTCACCAAAGATCTGAGGTGGCTAGTTGATGGGGAAATCTTGATCACTCACTTGCTTTGTCTCTTCAGGCTGTGTGGTCCAGGCTAGGGCTGTGAGTGTGAGGAGGGTACATGAAGAGAGAGTCTTGATTATCAAGGTACACATTGTTTCCCCCCAAGAAGTCATGAAATCTTTAGGACTTTGTGGGAAGGGATGGGGGGCATCTGGGACTTGATAACTTACCAAAGTAGGCTTGGGAGCAGGCAGCCTGACTGCAGGTCAACCACTGATTGTGGGGATGACACAGGAGGACAACAATACGATTTTCTCCCAGGTTGAGTTTGTTTGCAGGCCCTCTAACTCAAGATAGACCTGGAAGAATGTTAATGGTAGGAAAGAGTGGGTACAAGATCATTTATCTGGTTGGGCTGGTCCACAGTCTGCCTGTAATTATGAGATCACTCCCTAGGCTGAGGTGCAGGAAGGCAGGTGTCTGGGTCACAAAGAAGTCTTGGCTTGCCTGAGAGCTGCTGGAGTGGGACCATGCCTGGGAGTGTGTGAATGACACCAGAGTACAGGGTCTTGATCCCTCACCTAGAGGGGCCTGGTTCTATGGAGATGTCCAGAGAGTACAAGGATCCAGATTATTTACCAGGCTTGGCTAGAGTGCAGGCTGTACATCACAAGCTAGGCCTGCAGGTATTAGGACCACACTAGCAGGATAGGATCATGATCTCTCATCATGCTGGGATGCTGTGCAATCTGATTAACCCAGCTAGGTCAGTATGGAGATGGCGTGGAGGACAAGGCCATGATCATTAGTCAGACTTAATTGCTACCCATGCTTCATGACCCCAGCTGGGTCTGGGAGTGTGGTAATGGTGTAGATTGGTGAGGTATTGAGGCATTCACCAGGCTGGGATAGTAAGTAACAATGTGACCCAAATTAGGTCTGCGAGTGTGAGGATTGAATGGGAGGGCAGTGCCTTGATCACTCACTGGTCTGGTCTGGTGCCCAGGCTGCTTGACACCAGCTGGGCCAGAGACTCTGATGATGGCAGAGGAATTTTGGGGTAACTCACCAATTTAGTTGGAGAGCCTACTGACCTGAACTAGGCCTGAGAGTCTGGAGAAGATGCTAGTTGGGGGATCTTGATCACTTACCAGTTTGGGCTGTTATTCAGGCTCTGTAGCCCAAGCTAGGCCTGTGAGTATGTTATAGACAGGTGGGGATATTGGGTACTCACAACGCTGGCCTGGTAGACTGTCCTCCTAGGATCATGACACCCCTTGATAGTCTGAGATCGGTTGGGCAGAGGTCTGCATAACTAACCAGACTTGGCTGGTTAGTGAACTGCTTGACCCAAACTTGATCTGAGTGTGTCAAGATGATTTGGTAAGGTTGGATCTTGAGTCTACACTGAACTGAAGGACAGGCTATTCAACCCACATGAGGTCTAGGAGCATTATTAGTAAGACACCCCGGGATAAGATCTTGAGCTCTCACCAGGCTGAGATGGTGTTCAGTCTGTTTGACCCCAGAAGGCCAGGCAGTATGAGAATGACTCTGGCTGGCAGCTTCCTGGGAATTCAACATGCTAAGCTGGTATACAGACTGTGGGACACCAGCTAGGCCTGGCAGTGTGAGGACAGGTTCTTTTCTTAGTTACTTACCAGTCTGGGCTGGTGCCAGCCTGCTTTACATGAGTGTAGTTATGATGAGGATGGGTGGGGTTCTGTGTAACTCTCCAGGCTGGTCTGGTACACAGACCACTTACTATTGTGAGATCACTGCTAGTCATACCTGGTGGGGGAGGGTAGGGTTCTATGTTACCAGGCCGGGGAATGTGATGATGTCGAGGGATGCCTATGCTGCTTCACCCAAGCTATGCATGTGGCTATGAGGAATATTCTGGAATATCTGTGGATCGCTGTCAATTTTGGATTAAGGAATAAAATAAATTTTCCCTGTGTTTGCTCTATCTCTAAGAAAGGCTTTTTTTTTCATGGAAAGAAATGAGGAATTAATGTTTCAGGATACTTTTACAAGGGAAGTTTTACTTTATTGACCCAGAATAGCACACAGATATTATCAACATCTATATGCTGTAGTTTTTAGGATGTAAAAGCTGATTGCATGAGTTAGCTGAGTGGTAGATTAAGTACACAGTTTGTAATGATCTCAAGGCATATTATTGTTATTGTTATTGGTTTTTTTCAAGACAAGGTTTCTTTGTGTATCTCTGGCTGTCCTGGAACTTACTCTGTAGACCAGGCTGGCCTCAAACTCAGAGATCTGCTCAAGGCATATTATTAACTTTGTTTCAAGGCCAAGTAAGAGGTGTTTTCAGAAATAGGTATCCTCAGCGTTCCCAAGAAGCATGTCTATGCAGGTGATCACTGGTGGAATGGTAGTCAAGGCATGATAGAGTGGTGTCAGAGTCACATCATTCTTTAAAGGTGACAGAATACAACACAGAGAAGTCAGACAAGCTAAATAAGCAAGATTTAATCCTGAAAACCAATTAGAAAAGTGTAGCCAGATGCATCAGTGTTCTTCTTTGAGCATTTAAAGTTGGATAGAAAGTTGTAGAAACACCTCAGTGTCCCCCTCCATCATCCTGACACTCCCAGATCAGGGATGTTATTGCGTCCCTGAGGATAGGAAAAGACTGACACACATGCAGTGGAAGTTGACAAGGAAGCCGTCTTGATTTCCCCCAAACCACATGACAGCAGTTTCAAGAGCATGTATACTCCTAAGCATTTCTTGACCAGGCTTAGTTAAGATACAGGCTGCCTGACAAAACTAGGCCTGAGGTGTGAAAATAGTCCAGGAAGGCAGAGACTTGATAATCACCATGATGGACTGCTTTCCAGACTGCTTGAGCCAAGCTAGGCCTATGAATGTGAGGATACAATGGGCCATTCACCAGGCTGTGGTGGAGTAAAGGCTATGCCATTCAAGCTATCACTGGGCAAATTAGTGTTTCTCTGGAAGAACAAGGGTAGAATCTTGAACTCTAATCAGCCTGGGATAATGTGCAGTCTGATAGATCCAACTAGGCCTAGGGGTGTGAGGATGGCTATGGAAGGCAGGGTACATGGGAACTTATCAGGCTTCTTGGTGACAGTTGGGCCAGGATGTCTGAGGAGGTTTCTGAGGGCAGGGTCTTAATCAATCCATAATGTAGGCAGGTGCCCAGGCTCCTGGACTTTAGAACATGTAGTCAAGGTTTTGGGTCACTCACCAGGCTGGGATGGTAAGAAGGCTGATGGACCCCACCTATCCCTGGGATTTATGGTGATGGCACTGGGGTACAAAGGTTTATGTATTTCACCAGGCTCCATGATCTGAGTTAGGCCTGGTATTGCGGTAATGATGACAAAGGTGGCCCATGGTGTTGTGGTCAAGTGGGGGCAAATCAGCCTGCCCCTCATTGCCCCTCTTGATGCACTTAGAGACAGGTGGTATTGGCAGATGAGACCACACAGTGGTGGCAACACAGTTCAATGATGAGGAACTCTGACCTGTAGGAGAATTCAGAGAATTCAGAGCCACAGTGGCTATTGAGTTCAGGGATGCAGCATGGCAGATGACTAAATAAGTAAGGTTTAAACTATAGTGAGGGGAATCATAGGAAAAGAAAAAGGACTTCTCAAGAAGATCAATCATTTTGTTAGGGGTAAAACTACAGGAAAGTACATCCCCAATAAAGATGGGGTCCAGCACCGAGAGAAGAAAGATGTATTGCCTATCTGAAGAGAAAGAGAAAGAAAACATGAGCAGCAGGGAGAGGGGATGATAAGAGACAGGGACAGAAAAGGTTGGGGGAGGAAAAGGGTGGGGGATTCGAAGGGAGGGGGAGTGAGAAGAGAGGGGGAATGAGAAGGGAGGGGGATGAGAAGGGAGGGGGATGAGAAGGGAGGGGGAATGAGAATGGAGGGGGATTAGAAGGGAGGGGGATGAGAAGGGAG